ATTAAACGATAGTACAAAAACCAGTGAGAATGCTTAAATATCCTTAATTAATAAACAATGTGTCTGTTTGTTCAGGCTTTTTTTTTTTTTTTTTTTTTTTTTTTTTTTTTTTTTTTTTTTAAATACGACTTTTGAAAAGAAAAGAGGATGTCGGATCACTTCTTGGTAGCTAGAGATGTTTGAGGGAAAAACAGAGAATTCAGTTCTGGTTTATTAATGTTCGAAATTAAGAAAGAAATTTGAGAACAACTGGATGCTCGCTTAAATTCTGATGGCTGGAGTCCTGTAAAAATCCCTGAGCAATGTGAGACAGGCTACGTATCTATATAATACTTCTTTTCCTTACATAAATAAACATCAGTTGTAGAAATTCCCGTATATCGTAAATTATTCAGAAAAACAAACGCAACTAGATCCCTTACTTTTTGTGAACTCACTGCACAGGAACAGATTAGACTAATAAATGGTGAAATAATAAATGGCATTCATACAAAAACAAATTTTTTAGGTCGCTGGCATTAACTTCCGTCATGATCTGTTCCCAAAGAATATGTATGGTTATTAAGTAACATAAACTGCAATTTTGTTTATTCGTAATTCTTTAAAATACTTTTAAGTTTTTTCACAGAAATTGCTTTTTAGGTTAATTTTGTAGTTTTCTATAGTGCACAATTCATCACTTAAAATTTCTAAACTTCCTTTCAAATTTTCATATGCAGTGATTTGGAGGGTCAATGAAGTTTAAATTTTTTTAAATAATAGGAAAATATTTACAATAATAAAAACCTTATAATTTGTTTTCGTAATATGCAAATATTTTCAGTCACCAGAAAATTTCTGCAAATTACAAGGTTCCTATTACTTTAAATAACCAGTTGTTTCATAATTTGAATCTGTACTATCACTTCTCTCTTCCGTTTAGCTACCAGAATGTAAATTAGTTCCAGAAAATATAACTAGATTTTCCAATTATTACAGAGAGAGTGTGTTTCTGCCTCTCGAGGCCATGTTGCTAGGTTAGCTAGCTTATATACGATTGTATTCTTTGACTCTGCATTATAGTTGAGACTTTTAAATTGTTACACCCGGGAGAAGTTTGATCCAACTTCGCGTTAAATCATTTGTTTAGCCCATAGTTACTAAGTGTTCAATTTGAATTTATTATTACTTCAAGCTACATTACTACAAGTGGTTGATTGATTTGTGAAGGCTAGCTGTGCATTTATGCTCCAGTTCTGATTTAATAAAAAGATTTGTTTTAAAACCTTCATAAGACTTCGTAGTTCTGTTCGGACGAAGCGATAGTTCGCTCCATGTCTGTAAAGAGATTGGACTTAGTTTATGCTAGCAAAGACATCCAACCTTTGTTGTCTTCAAATGGATATTATTTGTTTGTAGCTGCCATTAACATATCAAAATTTTGCAGCCAAATATATTGATATTTACAAACATAAATTTATGTAAAATTGCAGATAAGCTGTATTTATGAACTGCTAAGCTGAAAGGCATATCTTATATTTTAATGTGAGGCAACAGTGTCAAATGTCTTGCATATCATTTGCTTGATTCCTTTCCCTATAGACTCTGAATAAAATTATTATCATTCAAGAGAGCAGTTCATTTGAATATGCTTTGCAGAGAACAGGCATTTTCAAACAATATTGCGCAAAAACTCGCAAGCGGTCATGAAGAAATATTGAGGATTTAAATATAAAATAAAAATAAACTTAGTAGATTTTTATTTGTGTATGTGTGCAAGCTTATAAAATAGAATAAAAACAAACTTTATCTGATAAAAATGCGAAGATAAAATTTAACACTTAGGAGGATATGTTTGTCAAACATTAAACATCAGACTATGGCTATGAGTTTTTAACACGCAGGATTGGAACAAAATAAATATTTAGATAAGTGTTATCTTACTTAAATACAACACGTTAATTCATGAAAGAAAATACTAATAGTTTGTATTCCATCCCATCTGAGTATAATTTGTCAATGTATTTTCCCAATTTACATTACTCAAGTGTCCAAAAATGTAACATTCAGTTGTAAGGATTATGTTAATTTAATTAACTGTTAAATTTTAAGAATGTAGAATTAAGAAAAACCAGAATGTAGTTTTGGAATCTTGCTTAATATTTAATGAGGAGGAGCGGTATTTAAACCACGAAGTTACTTACTGAGTCAGAGAAAATCAGAGTTTCTGATTTACGCGGTGTCTGTGCCTTTTTGGCCACTCTCTCTCTCAAAGCTGTTATTGCGCTCGGCCGCCGTACTCAGGCCCCTGCTAAGCTTCGTAGTCAAATAAGTTAAGGGGTTCAACTAGATTTGAATCTTGATAGCTTCGACTATACTTCTTTGCTTTTACTTAATCTTAGTTTTAATTTAATTCTTAAGTCTTTTAAGTTCAAACCCAAGTGCGGGCTTTGTTTGTAGACTCCCAGGCGGAGTTTTGTTAAATCTTATTGAAATAACAAAGGGTTAGTTACCCTTCTATCTTATTGTTTCTTGTCACCGAACTCAAGCGATTATTCGCTTATCAGTTCTTAGATTCTTCACTTACAACATTAAATTAGAATTCCAAAGTGAGGAATTCTACAGTGGCGCCCGAACTAAAAGAGCTGTGGATGATGATTCTCCGCACTCAGGGTTTGGCGAATAGGTTCCCTAAAACCCTAGTCGCCCTTTAAAAAGGGGAGTATATAAGGTATTTCTCCCACTTTCCAAGCGTCCTTCGTGGTGTAGTGGTTCTGCACACTGGGCCGGTATTCCAGAAGTCCGTGGTTCGATTCCCGGCGAAGGCGGTTGCTAATTTTTCATCTCGCTGGCTTCCAAAAATCCTAATGTCTCTACACAGTAAAGCAGACATCATTAACAAGGAGAAAGATCGCAGCTAAATTCCTCTCCAAGACTTGAAAATAATCTGTGAATTAGATTAGATAATTCTGAATCTTGCTGGGCGACTCGCCATAACATGTAGCAATACAATTCATTAAGGTAACTTTCCTGATATGATGATTTACCAGAAACTTTACGAAATAATAATTTAATTAATCCACTTTTTAATGAATACTAGAGGGCAAGCCCGCCAGATGAGCGGGCTGAGGCCAAAGCAAAATATATAAATTCTATGTACACCTAAAATAAAAATTTGTAGAAACATTTCAATATGAATGAAATCTGTTCGTTCCTTCCAAGTTCCAACCAATTCCTAAATAATTTTTTTGTTGCAAAACCAGGAAACAAAACCTTGACACATCATGTTAACACGTATACGTATGATATGATGATTTAAATTTAATGTAATGTAACCACATTTTCTCAATATCGATAAAGGAGTTAACGTGGCAATAGCATACCATGTCAATTATACAAAAATCAAATAAGAAAGCTGCCAACAGCAACTATTTATTTAAAATGCCGATATTAACGAAACATTTTCGACATGCAATCCCGTGCTTTCTTCAACCTCAGAATATGACTTATATAACAAATATATTTAACGTAATATATAACTCAGAATAATATATATAACTCAGAATATATTTAACGTTTGTCAAATTCTATTTTTGTTTCATATTTTGTAAAATTTCCGAATTTTTTTATAAACAAACTCTACAATTTGAAAGAGAGCAGTAGCAACACTTTTCGAAATAAAGCAGGTTTTTTCTGAGTGGAAACAGCTCGCGAGACTGTTTCCACTCAGAAAAATGAGTGCGAAAATTAGCGTTTTCAGAGTTTTTAATTAATATCTCGGCTGATTAAATTCGAAGAGGAGAATGGCTGAAAAGCTTCCCAGGAATTTTTAAAATCCGGGGGTACCTCTCTCGAACCTCAATTCCCCGCAGTTCCGGAAGAGATAATGCCACAAACAAGCAGACAGACTCGTTCAGATTTTAATAGTATAAATTATTTAAATATCTAAAAATGATTTCGGAATAAATAAATATACCTTTATATAATTTTCATTATATTCAATAATAATAATAATAATAATAATAATGTGTTCAAATTATCATCACATATTCTGAAACCTGATTTTTTTAAAAAAGTATGCTGTAAACTTCCTTTAAAATGATTTTCATCGTTTGTACAGTTGGTACTTTAGAAACGTAATATTTAGTTTTTACATTCTAAGCACTCTTTAAATGCAAATGTAATTTAAAAATTTGCTCTTGGAATAATTATTTCTACTGAAATAATAAAATAGTCGGGTGCAGGTATCAAATGACTAAATATGGTTTGTGAGATGGCAGAATCATCTGTGACATCCCTTTTTCCTAAACAGCATGAAATGACTTGCCCCTGGTTAATATACAAGAGTATAAAATATCATATTAATAATTCATGCTTTCATCAGTGCTATTACATGTTTTCTTTTGACGGGTGGAGAAAAATATTTGCCTCAAGTTTAGCTGCAGTTGAAACTCATCTCGGATGGGCATTAATGGGTAAAGTCTCACGAGCAGCTACTATAAGAGAAAACTTTGCAATTACTTTAATATCACTGTTTGTGAAGGAAATGGAAACTGCTGATTTTTGAGAAAGATTAGATGTCACTGGATCAAGGATCCTATTGAGAAAGAGTCAAAACTGGAGACAGACCTTTGAAAACTAAAGAATATTTCTAGAAAACAGTGATGAGTAAATAGTTTGATGCCCGCAATATCATTTTTTAAAGATAATTTAAACTCATGCCAAAAATTAATTGGTTAATGCCATAAAAAATTACAATGTTTTTCATCAATATCAAGAGATAAATTCGGAATCAGTTATTCTGCGCTTCGCTTTCAATGGAACTCATAAAATAAATTCTAGTAAAATGGAGTTTCTCATAAAATAAACTCTAGTAAAATGGAGTTTTAATGGTAGCAAAATGTAATAACAAAAATATTTTATATTGAACTCATCGTTTTCGCATAAAATAAAAGTTATTTTATATATAAAATGCCTGCGATACAAGCAATATGCAGTACGAAATAAATAGTTTCACTTACGTAAGCTTTCATTCTTGAAAGATGCGAAGCACATGAGGTTCATAACAATCTCGAGACTCAATAGACCCCACATACTAATTTTAATATCTGAAGCTTCTATTTTCAAATATGACCATGCAGAAAAGAGCCTTTCTCATTACACTAAGCTTCAAAATTTGCCGTATATTTTTTTTTTCAGAAAGTAAGATTAATATAGGAATTTTTATACCACAAGGTTAAAAAAAAACCTTCCTAGGCGGCTGATCTGCGAGAAATGGTAATAGAAATGAAAAATGGTATTCACAGTTTATTAACTCTTTTTTCTGTACAGATGAAATGCATGTATGCCACATACACGTTTATCAAATAAAACAATGGTTTTGGCTAATATTTTTCTTACGACAGGTGCGTAGTTGATGAGCATATGTTGAAAAAGCTAAACAATGTTCAATAGGAGTCTGGAATCACACTATATGAAAAAAAAATGATACTCAGTAGATATGTCATAATCGTCAACGAAAAGGCACATAAACTTCATGAGTTTATATTGCGTAGTAACAACAGGAATTACATGAGATATAAGCACAGCGAAAAATGCTATCTCTTAACCTTCTGTTATGAATTTAGTCGTATTGCCATGAGGTGCAGTCTAACCACTGATTGGTTGGATTTGACTGAGGTGTTTTGAATCAACCCAACTGTGTATAATTGATAAAACATTTTAAAAAGTTTTGGATATGTGCTTAACTCACAACAGATGAATTTTTTCCATAAAATTGCTTTATATTTTACAGTCTTATTCTTAAAATTATATGCTTCCACTACTGGAAACCATACGAATGATAAAAATATAAATCCTACACAAAATCATGCAAACAGTCTGTTCCGTTATATCTAGGATGTCTCCACTTAAACAATATGTGTAAATTCCCGGTTTGATGTTCCGGTTTCCTCTAACCCTCTTTTCAAGCTCTATCGATTATCATTCAAAACAGAAATACAGCTTATCCTAAATGCCTCTTATCCTAACCAGCTTATCCTTTAGCAATCAAAATAATGCTCATACACTTCTCTACATGCAAGGGTTATGCAGTTTCCATGTTTCATATTTCTAACTTATAAATGTAAAATAAAAAAGAAAATTCTAACTTTAATTTGCAATAGGCCTATAACTAACCATTTTAATTTCGCTATTTCCCTTTTCAATTCTAAAAAATAGTGACTGTTCATAGTAAATCTCCAAACAGCGTCATTTCAAAATTATTCTATATTATATAATCTTATTTAACGCTAATAACACAGAATCTTCGATAAGCTTTTAGCTAATAATAATTTTAGAAAGTTATTAGCCAATCAAAATACATTAAAACCGAAACTAAGTCACTTCGAATTAAGATTTTATCTTGAACATAGTGCATTAGCTCTGTACTTTTTTGTTAATTAGATGCGCTTCCTCTGCTTCATTTCTTACCGCAATGACATAAAAAACGTAAAAAGTTCTAGAATAGACGCTTGTTGCGTCAATTTATTTTTGTTGGCTTAATGAAATGTTTTTTCAGCGAGAATAAAAGGGAATATTAAAATCGGGTTATTCCAAGCATTCACTTTACACATCTATCTACCATCAACATATACAACTTCAATTTTTTCCAAATAATTTCAGCTATCAAAAAATTTTTAACCGGCCTTTTATGACTGCGAATCCGCCTATATCATTACGTATACGTAGAGAAAACTCACACTTGTGTTAACACTTGTGCATTCAAGAAACCCGCAAATTTCTATAAATATTTCTTCTTAAGATTATAGCACACTATATTTCTGCATTGTTTCAGAACTTATGATATAATTTATCTCAAAGATGTGTATTCATGTTAAGAAAACTGACTGTAAGCAACAGGAATCGGAATAATTTCAGTAAATTTGCAGGCCTGTAGTTTCGAAAGTTGATTTAATCGTTCCTCTCCAGCTGCGAGAGCGGAAAGTAATGAAAACGAAATTTGTTGTACAAAAACAACAGAGAAAATTTTAAGTTAGGTAAAAAGGTTTGGGGTAGATTTAAAAAAAAAAAAAAGTTGTTATAGTTTGGGGTAGATTTTTGAAAAAATTCTTTCGATTTTGACGACGATCCGCAACATGTCTTTCTTTTTTCAGTAGTGTTGGGTAAAAATTATATCTTAAATTAGCCAAATTAAAATTTCTTTTATGCATACTTTCTAATTTTATTTTGGCATACTTCTCCTCCAGTTCCATCATAGAAAAATACAATATTCTAACTAAAAATTGATTGAAAATGAAGCCACTGACGTCATCTCTTGAACCCCCCCCCCCCAAAAAAAAAGAACTAAATCTAAAACTGAAAACCTGATGATAAAGATAGATTACAATTAGTATTTTTGATCGGAGCAAAACTTTTTATGAGTATTAAAAACCTACAGGAAATAAAATTTGCTAACCTATAGGAAATTTCCTAGCCTACAAGAAATAAAATTTGATAACCTATAGGAAATTTCCTAGCCTACAGGAAATAAAATTTGCTAATTTTGAATAACTTTGGGTCAATGTGGTTTACTGAGCAACAGTGATACGCTATACAGGATTTATTCATAATGTGCTATTGACATCTTGTAATGTTTGCATGCATTTTGAAGTAATACATTTAAAATTCCATAAAATATTGTTGTTTAGTATTTTTTGTTACCAAACGAATTACTAATGTGTCTTTGCAACATTAGATGGCGTTGCTGCCTGATGATTCAATTCTGGTTGCTATGGTAACGAACTTTCAACTCATAAATTATGTGATTTGTATTCTATTCCTTTTTGATTTTTTTTTTAATTGCTACAGTGCTAAGAGTGACGTGTGCTGTGTCGTCACGGAGACGGCATTCCTTCTATTTGAAAGTGTTATGTAAAATAAACAAGTGATATTACAGTCCGCTTACCTTTTTTTGTGAACTTATTCTTAACATTCCTGGTCCGTCGAGCCGGAGAGAAGAGTTAGCGAGCTTTGGATATGATGTGATTTATTCAAATATTAGCAAGTTAAATCACTTTCGATTTGTGGATTAATAATCAGCTTAGTGTACTTTCGATTCGATTTGTGGATTATGCGTGGGGCATCTGTGGTGAAATCAGTTTCGATTTGTGGAGTATTCCCGAGGCATGGTGCAGCGTAGAAACCTCAACATTGGGGTGAGTACGTTCCAATATTTCATCTTCTTTTGCTAGAGTTGTTAGTATAATATTTATTGTTATTCATGATGGCTGATTTGAAACCAGTTTTAACTAAAAAGAAGGTTCTAAAAAGCAACATAACAACGTTTAAAGGCAAGTTAAAATCGAATTTAGAACAAGCAGAAATTTTAGAGGTAAATTTGTTCGAAACGAAACTAAATGCTTTTAACAGTGAGCTTTCGTTCTATTTATGAGGAATATTTTGTTGTGTCCTGAAAAAGATTTGTGATACATTCATTACGGAACAACAAACAATACAAGAAACTTAGATGAATTATGGATAACTATAAAAAAAAAGTTACAGAATCTTTCCAGTGACTCTGTTATCGAAACAAGTAGTGTAGCAAAACTAAATTCGTCTGACGTTCGATTACCAAAATTAGAACTTTCTACCTTACAGGGGAAAATATAGATGAGTGGATTAGTTTCTATGATCTTTTTAAGGCTAGTGTAGATAACAATCCGAATATTTATAAATGTCAGAAGTTTCAATATTTAAAGGCTTCTTGTAAAAAAAGGCTCTGTCTATTATTGAGTCAATTCCTATTTCTGATGCTAATTATGATATAGCTTTGCAATTTTATCAGGACTGGTATTCCTCTTTACTTGCCTTGGAAACATGAACTGTCTTGACTCGAAACAGGGAGCTTACTAAAGCTATGTTCAATAAATTGTGTAGACAATACACATAGGAAGGGTATACGAAACCCTTTATTTTTCTATCTTTACAGAGATTTCTGGACTTCGGAATACAGAGACCAACCACTTGTGGTCTGAACGTAAGAATATAAAAATATTAACTAAAACTCTAACTAAACTAACTTTGGATTAATATACAAGTGCCTATAAAATTGGCCGTTAATTAACAAAAAGCCGTATGTAGTACAGAGAGCTGCTAAAACAACGATACGTTTAAAATTATCAAGAGGATTAAACCTCTGGCCTTGAAGGCAACCAACAAACGAGTAAAACTACTATGGCAAGCGGCCTGCTTCTAATAACACCTTCCTCTCTCTTGCTTGGCAAAAAGCCACAACTTAAGTACTTGGCGTTAGCAAGACAAATTTGCATAAATAAGTTAAAAGCTTTTAATTCTGGCCGGAAGTAGAAAATAAGAAGTGATAGTAAAGATTTAAAATAAAATAAACGTTAGTAAAACTTAGGATCCTTACATACTTCCCGCCAGGGTTAATTAGTTTGAAAACTTGAGGTCTAAAACGACCTTGTTGAAAACTTTTAGCTCTAGAATCTAACGCGAGGCCAATCTTTTACAAAATCCTCTAACTAGAAATTAAAAGTCGTTTTACAATAACTCCATGGACAAGTTTTCATCTGTACTGCATCTAAACAGGCTTTTTGAATCTGGTTCCTTCCAGAGACCTGGAAGGAAAACTACACTGCTCAAAACAATTAAAGGATATTGTAAGTTTTATATAAAATAAAGATATAAGCGAAATTTTTTTGCCGAAAATGGAAGAAGAGAATCACAAATGCAAATTTTTCTGATTTTCAAACTGTGGAGTATGCTAATTTTGAGTTCGACGTCAAAAACGTCGCTTCAGCGGCAGCGAATGAAATTTGACTTTCAACTGAACAAAAGACAATGAAGACAAGGATGATCGGCATTCAGTGACTGCTTTGTTTCGATGAGTACGATGTCTCAGCGAAGTCATTTAACCGATTTAGAAGCTTGGAGAGTTGTTGGTAGGTTAGAAGGGGGCCAAACTCAAGCCGAAGTAGCGCAAGCCATTGGAGTGTCACAAAGTGTGATTTCCAGGATCTGGAACCGTTTTTTGGAAACTGGAAGTGCAGGCCGAAGACCAGGGCAAGGTCGTAGACGGGCAACAACGCCCAATGAAGATCGTTATTTAGTGTTAACGGCTCGGAGACACCGAAATATGAATGCTACTCTTCTCCAACAACACCTTCGCTCGGCTACTGGCACCACGGTTTCAACTCAGACTGTCCGAAACCGGACTCCATGGTGTAGGTCTGTATGCTCGCCGACCGA